ATCAGCGGCGCGTCTACTATCACTATAATGGGCCCCTGTCACTGTCCCTGCTCTCGGGCAAATAGTGGACTTCACCGAATATGGTGGTCGAACTCACACTTAGCTTAGAAGTAAACAAATATACTAGATCTGGATCCTGTTCCAGTGATCGCATCTTCTTCCTCTGGACTGCTTCCTGGAACTCAAATATTCTCTTCTATTGGCATACTGAGATCTGCTCCGATGCACATAGAAAAGTGAGTTCTTTCATTTTCAGAAGACGTATCCCTATTTTTAAGGGAAGTCAAAAAACCGGCCAAAATTCTCCATTCTGATCTTGACTTTATCTTCAAAGAAAATAAAGTACGCAGACATTCTATGTAGAAATATCTAAGAAAAGCGCTTTTTCAAGAGGTAACTTACTATACGCGTTTTTTAAATAAATCTTTGGCATACGTATTAGCGACTTTTACTGTGGACTTTCATTTTTCTCGGCAATGAGTTGACATGTTTGGGTGATTCTGAAACCATGACCCAAACAGACAACTGCATAAGAAAGAATGTTTAAAAGCTCATTATTTAGGTAAATGCTTTTGAGAAATTGCTTATGTTGCAGGTTTTGGTAAGCACGTAGAATATAATCCTTATCTATGGCTAATCGACTGAAGCCAATGAAACTCGTAAAGGCAGACCTGAGCCTCTTTCTAATACAAATCCCAAAATAATTACAAAGAAACATGGCAGAAGGAAATTTCTCTTAGTGTACAAAAAATGGTAGGTTTGAAATTGCAACTGAATCTCCTAATTGGCGCAATCAAGCTAAAATGTGGTTGCCTTAGTCCAACCTAAATCAAGAAATGTATAAACGGAAGGAACAACTAGCAATTCTCGTGGAACCCTGTTGGAATACATACTCTAAATTTGGGCTGTAAGGTAACAGCTGCACGTTACATTATACGTAATATAGGAGCGTATGTATAGGAAAAGTTTACAAAACGCTTATTTTCAAAGGTAATACTACTTGTGCTTCTTTGTTCATTCGGTTTGGTGTGCATGAACAAGCCTCCTCTACATTTTAAACTTAAGTGCTAGCTTGTCTGAAGTCGAACTATAGTCAATCCGATGAGTTTCTCTTAATGTTAAGACATTCTGACTCATTAGTAACGCCGCTTTGGTTTGCGAATTAAGTAGACGGCTACAACCGGTCGCAAGACCTTTTCCACCCCACATAGTAGACGCGCAGCTTGCGCGCGAGCTCTTCGGAACTTTTATTTCGTTACGTTAATGGGCAGCCCGCACTTCCGAAGTGCACTGGTCCAATGGAGTTTGACGGAGTGCTAAACTGTCATTGGACAAGAAAGGTGGGGGACTAGTTTGTACTTCTGTCGTCTTTAGATGACATCTCTGTGTGTCGACTGACTAAAACCAGTAGTCAACCGCGCCACCGTGTGTGTTTTGACAAACCTCCAAACTTCTGCGCGCTGTCGTTTCATCTGCTGCCACAGCTTCCCCCGACCGGTC